ACTACCTTTACTGCTACTGCTACTGCTACTACTACTACTACTACTACCACCACGACTACTACTACTACTACTACTACCACCACCACGACTACTACTACTACTACTACTACTACTACTATTACTGCTGATGCTGCTGCTGCTGCTGCTGCTGCTGCTGCTGCTGCGTGTGCGGCTGCTGCTTACTGTGCCACCGCCGCCACCACTAGCAAAACGGTACATGCGTTCTGCTCTAATCTGAGTGTGCCTGTTCTTTTTGCTGTTGTCCTTGTTGTCTTTGTGGAATATGTCAAGACACGTAGATGGACTACGACTGATGGTCGTGAGAAATCCTGCCGCCGCGATGACGATACCTGAAGTCAATTTTCATCTTTGCACTGTCAGGCCTTCAAACTTTACAGTATCAATCCAGCGGCTCCTTCAAACCACAAATGCTTGCCCAAGATTCCAAGCCCGAGATCTAAATTCGAGAAACCCCAAGCCTTAGACACGGTCTTCAGGCTTCACAGTCTTCGCGGCTTCTGAAGTGCAAGCATCCCCCGCAAGAGGATTTCCGGAGTTCGATATTAAACGGCTTTTGGTCGGCACCCTGTGCAGGCTGGCAGGAGCAGCCCAACAGTGTCACCCCTCCTCGACACAGTGCTCTGCCGAATTCCTCCAAGAATCGACAGCCTCAGCGCTGCACCCCAAACCTCGAACTCCTCTAACCATGCCTCGCCCCAGGGGAAGCCGGCAGATGGCGGCGAGGCCCCTTCGAATCATCAGGATGGCGCCGAAACCTAACTGTCTCAGCTGTAGCGTTGTGGCGGTGCTGATGTTTTGTATTGGCTATCTTGGTAAGTGTGGGCTTCTAGCGCACGGATTTAATACGACTCGTGTACCTCGAGTGGTCCCCAATAATTTCTGTAAGTTTGATTCAGTTAAACGCACGGTTGCCTCGCCTCGCCATACACCGACCGCCACCTCCCGGACCCGGTTCCGGACCGCAGCCTACCAGCCCCTCACACGATGGTGAATGGACTCCGGCCCAGCATCCTTGTCATTAATAGCGACAAGTTCAACAGAAGCTATCGTCCTGGTTATCTTCATCGCCATCATCGACATAATAATAATCATCATCATCATCACCACCAGCATCATCATCGTCATCATCATCATCATCGTCACCGTCGCCATCACAATCATCGTCACCACCACCATCATAACCATTGTCATCACCATCACCATCACCATCACCATCATCGTCATCGTCATCACCACCGTCATCACCACCGTCATCGCCATCACCATTACAATTATCATCCCTAAAAACACGTCATCGCTCGCTGCAAAGAAATTCCTGAGTGCAAGCGGCATGCCTTAACTGTGATTTGCTCGGGAATCCATCAAGAGACTCGCTTGCGGCACTCGGCAACCCTCCGAAAGTCCGACCTTGGAATATTCCAAAATTTTCAAAACCCATTCCTTGGTCTCGACACTATCGACAAGGCTGTGCCATGAACATCTTGTACTGCCAGTGTGGCTAGCTAAGTTTCCCGGGACTTGTAAGTAGACCTTCACATGTCTCACAGGCCAATTCCTACAGCATGCTTTCTGTGGAAGGCCGTCCTGGATGGTAGATGGTTGCAGGATCCCAACTTCGTTCAGGCGAGGCATGGCGTTCTGTTTTTAAAGGGGAAGCTCTGAACCGGAGCCTGCCCTCAGCTCTTTAAAGGTAGGCTGCACGTGTGTCGGCTGCGGTTGCTTAGGGTGGGGATGATTCCATTCGCGCGGAATCTTCCAGCACATGTTTCGAAAGAAGCGGCTGTTGCGCTCGACGACTGCATCGTGCGCAATTCGGACGATTTCCTTCCTCGTGGGATTCCCAGGTTTGGCGACTGCTGATTTTTTGAGCAAACTTTCCACCTTGCAGAACCGGTCTTCGGAGCGGCTCCTTCAAATTTAAACTTCGGATTGCAGCTGCAATCGGGTGACACACACACACATGCGCTGCCTGTGAGTGCGGTTGGAGGAATAGGCAGACCGCGCGTCTCTCCACCCTTCACCCCGCACATTGAAATCCACCGCTTCAGGAGTTGCTCGGGTCGCTGCCGGATTCCCATCTTCAGAGCTCTGCTTGTCGAAGTGTGCCGGGTGAAGTCTTGTAACATCCTGCAGCATGCCGGCAATGTTGGACTGCATCCTAGAAGATCCTGCGACATTCTGCAGCAACCACGTGATGAGGCCCGGTGTCGACATTGATGATCCACGAATTCAGGATGCTTTGAAAGAGGCCGGAGCCTTGTCAGTGCAGCTCCATTCAAGACCTTCATCTCTGAAACTTGGAGGTAAGCGGTGCTGCAAAGAAGGCCACGGGGGCTGCATTAGCCATACTCAGTAAAAATGAAGGGTGGGAGGGTATAGTGCAACACACCAGCTATAAAGTGGTGCATGGTGGGAGTCCAGAGTTCAGAGCACTTCCTGAAAATTCCTCAAGCTTGAAAGCCTTGGACTTCGTGCACTTCGTGCCAGGATGAAGGCGGCTCGGACGACAAGAAAGAAGACAAAAAGTAGTGATTGCTGCCTTTGGGCAGCCTCGACCGTCGCAAGGCCGCAGCAGCAAATCTAAGAGCCTACGCTAGGCCGAGCCGCCGTACCTAGATCCTGGTCCGTACAGGACCTCTAATTGAACATGCGCATGTTGGCCACTATGGAGTTGACAGACTGAAGCTGCGATCAGATGCTGCAAGGCCTGCTACCGCCTTGCAGAAATGTTCACATCCTTGACCTCAGGCATCCGTGATGGTGCAAAGTCTTCCAAGCAGGTGTAATTAGTCGAAACTGCTGGCCGAGCTTCATTAAGCAATGCCTGTGAACGAGCTCATACAGAAGCCTTGTGAGTTCAAGTCAAAGGACGGGATTGCAAGGACAGATAGCATGCCGCGGAGCCACAAAAATGCAGCTGAGCACCGGGGTGCCTGTCCTGTTCAGGGTACCCGGTATGTTGGGGAATAATTTCGGAAGAACAAGCTGAAGGTCCCAGAGGTGGTGATGCACACTCCCGTCAAGGCAGCCTCCTCTGTGGTGCCGCAATTATCGGCTGGTCTGTGAGGGTGAGGTCTCGATTTCAACAGAGGAGTGTCCCATCAATTGAAGCAAGGTTTGCCTACTCGGGCTTGTCAGCGTGCAAAGCAAAACCACACCCTTGCAGCTAACGTAATCTCGTGGATGGGATTGTGGACTGCCAGGGCGCGCCATGGGAGCAAGCCAAAGCCTGTGCCGAGCAAAGGCTGCTGGTTGCGACTGGGAAGGAGCTCCTGCTCCAATCGAGGTGATCGAGGCTGCCGAGGCTGCAGCAGATGGAGCAGCTCCAGCTGAACAAGATGCCGTCGAGCTGGAGGAGATTATTTCCCGTTTTCAAGCGGCTATTCCTGGGGCTACATCTGACTCCGACAAGGATATCACGGCTAGGCAAGACAGCAAGTCTCGTCGACGTGATCTGTTGAACCGAGCATTGGTTCCGGATACCGAGATCATGCGAGGCATCTCTCTTCAGAGCACGTTGGTTTGGGGAGGTCGGCTCTGGCGTTTGGCACCGTCGGTTCTGCCAGAGCAAGAATTGGCAAACAGGTGCGGTCGATCGTTCTTTGTCACTTGAGGGCTCGGGCTCTTTATCTTATCGGTCACCTTTTGGAAGGCAAAGTGTAACTGACAGCGACCCCAAGGTGGCTCCACTCCACGCAAGTCGAGCACTTCGACGTCTTTCTTTCTCACACCTGGCGGACCAAAGGACACCCAAAAGACTCTTCCAGATACTGTTGTGACTCTACTAAACCATCAGCTCTGCTTTGCCTTTACCGGCCAGGACTCTCGAAGTTCTTTTCTCTGTCCCTTCAGTGTGGCTGGGTTCGCATTTTTCTCGCTTGGTTCTTGGCGATCCTCATCCTGGAGATTCTGGCATTCTGGGACATTCTTTCCCCCCACATCCTGGTTCAGGCAGGGTGCTTTCGACTACTCCTTTTCGGGTAGGAGCTTATCACTCTTACGTTCTCGGTTTGGGGTGAGCAGTCACTAACTTCAAGATTGTCAGGTTACACAGCAGTAGCTGCCGTTGGGCGGTTTCGGGGCTATGGATTTAGGACATACAGTTTTGGATTTTTGGGTTTGGAGACCTCGGGCCTTCCACGTCTTCACACTCCGGGCATGCCTATCGTTGGCAGAGCCTCCCATCGGGAAACCGTTGATGTCTTCCGGTTCTGGCTCAACTGTTTCCGGCTCTGGCTCCTGCTGTTTCTGACTCCTTGCGGGATTCTCCTCCTCATTCTGCTCCTCATTGGCGCTGTCGCCTCCATCGGCAACGTCTTCACCATTGCCACCTCCTGCGTCTTCATGGCATTTTCATCTGCAGTTTTATCTGAATCTTTATCTGCATCCCAATCTTCATCTTCATAGTTTTCCGCATCGTCATTCCAGCCGCATATCCGCACCTCAATCAAAACAAGGTGGGGCTGACCAATTGCCTGGGCACCCCTCTTGTCTTGAAGCGACCACACCCTTCGTAAAGCGCATCTTCCCATTGTCGGAATGATCATCGCCTGGTGCATTCTGAGGTCGCCTTTGAGGGCAAGGACTACACGTGCCCTTTCGGAGCCCGTGGCGAACACATGACTTGCATAGGGCATTCCGGGGCTGACGGTGCGACGAACATCTTCGATGCAGTATGCCATTGACAATTCAGATTTCTGATCCCCTTTCAGCAGTTTGAGGCTTCGGTGGTGACACTTCGCACGTAGCCTAGCCCGAAGCCCTAGACTCCAACCGACATCCACAAACAATGGCGACAGCCAAGAGGAGCATGGGGGCTATACTTGAGCAACCTCGTATCTCTGGTGGTTTTGGTCCTGGCTCCTGGCGGCGCCAGCAAGCTCTGCTTCCTTGATGTTGCGAGTGCCTCGGCCATCTTCAGCTGTGCTACTCATGACATGCCAGCTTGACCGGGCTCTGTGCAGTTCTCATGCCCCAACAATCGGAGAAGTTCTCATCTCTTGACGTTGGATTGCTGTTGTGTTATGCTTATCACGACAACGGTGAAGATGGCGATGGGATGAAGATGAAGGTGGTGATGGTTGTTGGGGTGGCAGGTGGTAGTCGCAGTGGTGGTGGTATCTGCAGTTGTGGTGGTGAGGGTGGTTTTGCAGGTGACACTGCCCGTGATGACGACGATGATGCTATGATAATGTTGTTGATGATGTTGCTGCGGAAGATGATGATGAAGATAGAGAAGAAGATGATGATTGTCGTGAGTGCTGGTAGTCGTAGTGGTGGCGACGGTGGTGATGGTGATGACGGTGGTGGTGGTGGTGGTGATGATGGTGGTGACGCTGGTGGCAGGTGTGGTACTGGTAGTGGTGGTGGTGGTGGTGGTGGCGGTGGTAGCAGCGGTGGTGCTGCGGTGAGGTGGTGGTAGCGGCGCCGGCGGCGGTGGTGGTGGTGCTGCTGCTGACTGCTGCTGCGCGACTGCTGCTGCTTCTGCTGCTCCTGGCAGGTGCTTGCGGTGTGTGGGTGTGGTAGCGATGGGATAGTGACGGTGGTGGCGTCGATGATGTCGGTGATTGTGAAGATGGCTCGCTACGATCATGACCTTGATTCAGATGTAGATTGTAGATGTAGGCATAGGCGTAGGTACGGGGGGGGGGGGTGGGTGTAGATTTAGATGCAAATGTGGATACATGTGAGTGTAGATTGAAGTGCTGGTGTGGGTGTATGATTGTTGTTTTTCAGGTGGGTGATGTGTTTTTGGTTGTCTTACATGTGTTGTCTGATTTTTGTATTTCGTTTTTGTTGGTTCTTGTTTGTTGTTTGTTGTTTGTTGTTGGTTTTGGTCGTTGTTTGTCGGGTCTTAGTTGGTGGCTGGTGGCTGGTGGCTGGTGGCTGGTGGCTGGTGGCTGTCGGTTGTGGTTGTTGTTGTTGTTGTTGTGGTTGTTGCTGTTGCTGCTGTCATCCGGTGCCTCTTGCAATCTGCTACCTTCATGTTGAGCATGCTAAGCAAGTTTGTAGGGTTTCCGATTCCTGCACGAGCCGAACCTGCGAAACACAGCGGGTGGCGAAGTTATTTCCAAAGAGCACCGATCGAATATGGTTCGAAAGTACCAAGCTGCAGAAGTGGTATAATATGCCTAGAGCCGAGGCATCAACCAAGCGGACAACAACATGAAGGAGCCTGGGAGTGCGGGTGCGGGTGCGACCTTGGACCCGAATCCTTTGTGTTCCATCATAAGCTTTTCGATGCAAGGACAGCTGTGTGATCGAGTGTGCCGTGAAACTTCAGAGCTTTAGTCTTGCAAATCATCATGCCGTCGACTGCTGTCCGAGTGGCCACAGGCTACCCTTCCCCGATTTGCGGAACCGGCTGTCGTTGAGCAGCTCGCTCGTCCAAAAATTTTTGTGCGTGCTTCGGGGTCGACAAAGTGCCCATAAGCCAGCCGAATTAGCAGCGCAAAAAAACCACCGTTCCATGTGAACTTCTTGAAGGAGCGTGGAATCTTCGGGCTTGGCGGCTTCCTCAAAGTCTCTCAGGAGGGGGTTCAAGGACTAAACTTATTGGGTTGGGTTTCAGGGTAGATTTGAGTGGTTGATAGTAGCAGATGGATCCGGCTCTACAGTGCGGGTGAATCTACGCCGTATCTGCCTCCCAGGAGCTTCGAATCCTCTGGTCACGGCCATACCTGCTCCTTGTGTTGACTTTAACCGCAAAGCCTTGCACGTTTTGGTGTAAGCCCTATTCGGGTTGACGGGTCATTAGCGGAGTTTGTGGAGTTCAAAACTCTGCAGTCTGAACTGCAGAGTTTTCTCCTAAGTCTGTGGTGGCACAAAAATAACTCCTTGAGGTTGCACACGTTGGCATCTAATATCGCAATTTCGCAATTTGTTTACTGCTTGAGCTGGTGGCGCCATGGTGTCTAACCGCTTCTTCTACGTATGCACAGGTTGACATCTTATAGTGAAACAGTGAACCAGCTTCTTGAGGTCGCGGCTTTGGTGCATATTCGAGATCGCTGCATACCGGTTCGCGAATCCTCGAGGCTGCATTACATTCGCACCATTGTTCCTCGAAAACACAGTTGTCAAGCTCTGGCTGGGAAACTACGTGACCATGGTGACCTTCATGTTATTGTTAATTGTGGTAGATGCCGCTGCGGTGGTGATGCTACTTCCTGCTTTCCTTCCACTTTGCATGGTCTTCCATTTCTTGAGGAAGAATCTGCTTGCAAAGAGGGAACTTTTTGCAGAGTTGCGAAACTTTGACTTGAACAAGGTCGCATGCAAAAGAGAGTTCGATCGGAAGTTCATCTATTCAGCCATAGAGGAATGGTACGGCAGCCAGGAAGCCTTCACGGCCTTTGTCCGCGGCCCATTGAAAGAAGAGCTGCTCGCCAAGCAGGCCGACACACGGTTGCCGCTCAAGTACACGCTCATCATCCTAACGCCAGTATTGAGCGTCGGCATGGATGGCTTGCTGGCTTTTGTCAAAGGAGGCATGCCTCTAAACTTTCTTATCTGCTATGGCTGTGGCATCCTTCTTGGCCTGTTCTTGCTCTGGTCCGCCGTGTCTCGGCTTTGGCTTTCGGACAGAAGCTTGTCAGTAAGGCAGGAAGGTCTTGTTTGGATATCCCTAAATCCCCGAAATCTTGAAGTCCATCAGGTAACGATTCGTGTCGCCGTGGCTCTTTGCGACCGCTTGGCCGCTCCTTACAAGCCGGGCTGCTTCGACACTTTGTCAGCCAATAGACGCATTTTCCGTTTCAGCTTCATCTTCTTTGCAACATGAATTGTCGATACATGTTCACTTTCAGTTCCACTGTCGTTTGCATTCTTAGCTTCGTCATTATCCACACCATTCTCATCAGCATACTCCAGAGTCGAAGCTCGTTTTTGTCCGGGTGCGGATTCGCACTTTAAAGACTCCCGAACATCGCCAACCCAAGACTGTCTGCATGAGGCTTGACATGAGGAGTGACTAGGCAGTGGGTGAAGGGGCCAGTGGGTCCAGCAACCGCCTGCAGATGAATTTAGAGGCAAGGCTAGTTGGCTGACTTCAACTGAGATTTGGTTTTTGTATGAAGCACCCGACAGAACTGAAACAGTCTTTTTGCGTGTTTAATGCAGGCTTGGGGGCCGTCAGTTCGTCGTAACATGAATTTCAAAGAAAACCTACTGATTGTCATGTGCAAGGTTAAGCTCCAAGGACTTGTGCCCAGACAGGCTTGTTGAGGTCGGGGTCGTCCTTTAAGGTGCCAGCCTTCGGGCTTGTGACGTGCCGAGGATTATCTGCAAAGTGTGATGGTATTCTTGGCTTCCGTGGCGGTCACATTTGCCGGGATTGTCATCGCAGCGCGTGCGTATGTCAGCGGCGAAGCTTACACGTTCGCGTGGCTCGCCGGTGCCTCACTGGCCTGCTGGGCGACGCACGGGGGTTGCAAGTGTCTGGTATGCAGCATCGCCCACTCCACAGGCCAGCAGGCCCTGAGCGACTCTGTTGTGGCAACATCGGCGTAGTTTTAATTCCTTTAGTTGATTCATGCTTTGGCGTGCACTGCGGACTTCTGGAGCATGCATGCCGTAGCTGCAAGCAGACTTCGGAAGTTTGACGCAATTGAAATTCGCTTTCTATTCGGAAAGTTTCACCCATTGCTCGAACACGATCCTTATTGCCATTCCAGACCAAGCTGATTCCCGCATGCCCATGTGCCAGGGCGCATGGGCTTTTTCGCAGGGTTAGCTCCTCCCGGCGGCGAGCAGGCCAAGCGATTGAAAAACGACACAAGACCGCTCGGTGCTACAATGCATGTTTGCGGGACTGCATTGACTACATGTCGAGACATGCTTGCCCATGTGCTCTACAATCACAGTTTTGCTGGGTGATAACTTGTAAGGTCCGTCGAGCAAACAGGACCCAAAAGTAAACGCGGAAATGCGTTTGCGCTTCACGGTTGTGGTTCACGGGTATGGTGGAATCGGGCTTGCAGGCAGAAGCGCTTTGTGGTTCAGATCGGGGCAGAGGGTTTTGACGATGGTGGATGTTTGCGCTTGACCCTGCGAATGAAAATCCTCTGCCGCTCTTGGTTCAGCGAAGCGGACAGTGGGCCCCACCCCTCCTCCGTGGCGAACGATCCAGGGGCCAAAAGTCAGATGCCGGGCACTTGGTGTAGTGCCGGTGTTTAGAACTTGGGATGTCCTTCTGCAGCTTTTAAGGCTGTAGCCACTACTATTGCATCGTCAACATTGTTATAGTAATTAGAATAATCAATATTTATGACACTTTTCACATCGGCGTTGTCACAATTCTTATTACACTATATATTATCATCAGTCGTTATTGGTTTATCCACGTGTCATTTTTTGAAAGTATACCTGTTCTTGGTAGTAGCACTGGTCGGCGTCGTAGTAGGAGGAGGAGGAGCGGGTGGACAACAGAGACAGTGGCCAGCTCCTTCGTGAGAGTCCGAGGCTGCCGCCTGCCTCCATGGGTGGGGTGGCGAGGCCGTCCCCATGCAGAAAGTGTCAAAACCTCACTGCCCGCGGCGGTTGAGGGTTTGGACGTAATGGTGCAGGGTTTGGGTCCGGCGTGGACTCTCATGCCTTGGGAGGCGGATGCCCTGAGGAGACAGATAGTGTGATGTAATGGTTCCCTTGGGGGACGAGCTTGCGTTGAGCATTTGGGGAATAGCAGATGCACACTCACGCGGGGTCCATGAGGATCATGAAGGGTCGCCCAGACATCAGTGCCCCTTCTCGTAAATAAGATTCTCGGTTTGGCTTTGGGAAGCAACCAACCTGAACCTGCGAGCCTTAAACACCGAAGATTCTCCCCCCACGCTCAGGAGCTTGGGGACTTCCCGGAACTTCGGCCGCAGGCCGATCGGTACTGCCTGTCGGGGCTTTTAATTCTTGCTGTCCAGCACTTTCTCTTTTCGGGTGGTTTGTTTCTAGTGAGTAGGGTGGATGGCAGTTGTGCTTATTTGTCTTCTCGAAGCCTTGGGGTTTGCGTTTGCTGCCGGTTGCACGTGCGTTTTCGTTTTCTCCGTGGTCGTTCGGATCAAAGGGTTGTGAGGTGTTCTTCGGACTCCGGTGTGATGGTGCTGTTCCCGCAGTCGAGGCTTGTGTCCAGCTTCTACCAGTAGTTGTGTTTTGTCCCCCTGTCTGTGCTATTCCGTCTTTTTGGAGCACGGCGTCGTCTATTAAAGGTTCTTAGTTTTCTGCAGCTAACAGGCTGACAGGTCCAGGGCATGGAGTCAGAATTTTTGCAGGTCTTTCAAGGTTTCCGTGTTCTCGTACGGGAGTTTGATAAATTTGAGCCGTTGGAGTTTGACATATGCAAACTGATTGGTGGCTTACTGGTGCTGGTTCTTTGCTCTACGCTTTTGTTCAGTCTCTTTCCGATGGAGGTGGGCTCCAACCCGGCTGTCGTTGCATGCGTGGCTGAAAACTGAATCATGAAAACAGCTTTCCTCCAAGTCATAGACGGGAAGCATGTGCATGCCAGCCACCAGGGTGAACTGCACGGCGCCGAACCCTTTAAGCTTCTACCTGTCGTAGCTTCAGGATCAGCCTCTGCTCGAATATTCCACCATCCCTGTAGCCTCCAGCATAAAACTCGCCAGCCGGCAAGCCAGCGAACATCAAGTCGGTCCCTTCTTCACGCGTTCTAAATAGATCTTGGTATGCTTACCACAGCATCATTAGCCTGCACCAGGAGTCTTGAAGTTAGCCGCCTGAAAAAGAAACTCCCGAACTGTCACGTCACCGTAAGCCCTCCGACCTTGACGGGTCCCGACATGCCAGCCGCCTCCTGGCACTTGCAGCGCTGGCAGTGGCATGCGGGTTCGGGTCCCATGCTGTTGTTTGGGGCAAACGCTTCACAGCCCAATCTCTGGGCTAGTTGTTGCAGCAGGATCGCGCATTTTAGCAAGTATGGAAATCGTGCCTCAGAAGCTGCGGCTGCAACTTCCGTGAGGCCTCCAAATTCAATCCACATCAATCTAAACCTCGAAGCCTGTAAGCAAGTGTTGCAGCCGTGACGCTTGCTTGCAACAGTTTCATGACCCTGCTTCAAAGTACCCATATGGCGCTGTCCTTTTATTGGTGTTGTCTTCAAAGCGCCGCCGGCATCCGTACATTCGTCCGTACATTCGTCAGGTGCTGTGCCTTCGTCCTTGGTCCAGCTCCCTCGCCACTGAGGGCCTCGTCGAGGCACTAGGGCCTTTTTAAGGAGGCCTTGGAAGCTAGGCCTCTCAGTCCTTTCCGGGATCTCTCGTTTCACTCCGGAGTCCTGCTTCTTATGCAGTGTCTAGTGGCCCTATACCAAAACGGATCCCTACCTTTACACTGAAGGGAAGTGAACTCCGAATCAAGAAGCTTCACTAGGTATGCACTACAAGCTGTTTGTGCGAAAACATCCTGGCAGCCTTGTAGGTATAGAAGGCTCCAGCTGGACCGAAGTCCCAACACTAAGACCTGAGCCCTGAGCTCAAAAACTGCAACCCCTGCAGCCTGACCCATCGTAAAAGCTCCCCTATATCAGCCATCCAAGCGTTTCGTCGCATCTCACAGGACGCCGGAGAGAGATAACGCCGAGGCTCCCGAGGACTTCGCGTCGCCAGGTGACCGATTCTTGTCTTCGCATCATCTCGGTTGGTGGAGCGTCGCTGTATGTTTCGAAGCTCCTTGCAAACAGTTGCAAACTTCCAAGTCTGGGTCATGGAGGGGATTTAGGGATGTTTGGGCTTAGCATCTTGGCGCTGTGCGGCGTAAACTGTCAGGTCTTCGTTTTGAAATCAGCTTCAGGTTGAGCGCAAGGGCCCCAAACCTACAGGAAACTTGCCCGACCCTCCGAAGCCGTGCTGCACATGGTGCTCGAGTGCTTCAAAGCAGTGTTTGGGCTTTCGGGTGTTTTGCGGTGTTTCCTGCGTGCTAGGAAAGAAACATATTCTCCGTCAGTAAAATGCATATTCAGGCAGATTCTAACCCCAACACTAAGATGAAAGAACAGGGTCTTTTTCGGAGTACTGTGGATCAGCAAAGCTACCGACAGTGCCCGACAGTGCCAAGATCATCACAATAGCAATTGTGGCACGAAGAACAACAACACCTACAAGCCTGGAGTTGTACTCGGGTGCACTGGTTTCACACTTCGCAAGCTGCGCCTCTTGTAGCGAAGGGAACGAGATTCTGAACCCGGAAACTCCACGCCGACCAGATTATTTGCAGTGCAGCCTCGAAGCCCGAACTTTCAAACTCTCAAGCAGGTACATGCAGTACACGACTTTTAACAGCTTACAAAGTCTTTATGGCTTCTCTTGTAGTGTTGCAGTAGATGGTAGCCCTTATAGTAACCCTTACAGTACCTCTCAAACGTGCAGGTGCAGGCAGCCGCACCGCAGCGTTTTTCGGATCCGCGGCCCTCGCCGCGGCGGCCACTCTGCAGTGCTATGAGCGGTTCTAGAAAGGGTTTTGCCAGGGGGTAAGAACGAAGTTGCTACATGGGCTGGGGTTTTGCGGAAGAAGATCGACCCGGAAGACTTCAGCACAAGACTCCTACATGCCAACAATGCGAATTTTAGTCCTGAATCCAGAGCCCTGAACCGGAGACCTTGCAACTCAGGAATGTTCTCAAGCTGGAAGATTTGTTGGGAATCATCTTTGGGGGATTGGAAACATCTTTGGGGGATTCCTGGTCTTAGGTGGTGTCCCGGATTCGAGGCTTCCAGCAAAACTCTGGTCGAAATGAGAGGACCTGGGCCGGATTCTTCGGCCTAAATCGTGCAGCCTGGGCACAGGACATGTAAGCAACAGACCCTAAATCCTAAACCCTAAACCCAAAACATGCAATCTGCACCTGCGCCAGTTGAGAGTTTTGGGGCCATGCCAGTTTATGTTCTTGCTGGTGCGGAGCAGGAGCAGGAGTCGTAGTCGTAGTAGTGGCAGGTAAAGGGCAGCGGCAGTGGTAGTGGTAGTGTGGTAGTGGTAGTGTTAGTAGTCGTAGTAGTAGTTGTAGTAGTAGCAGCAGCAGCAGCAGCAGCAGCTTTGACAGGAGCAGTAGCAGTAGCAGCAGCAACAGCAGCAGCAGCTGCAGCAGCGGCAGCAACAGCAGCAGCAGCAGCTGCAGCAGCGGCAGCAACAGAAGCAGTTGTTGTTGATGACGATGATGATAATATATGTTGACGTTGATGATGATGATGATGATGATGAGGATGAGGATGAGGATGAGGATGAGGATGATGATGATGATGATGATAGTGGATGATAGTGGATGATAGTGGATGATGGTGGATGATGGTGGTTCTGTGAGTGCTGACATTTGTCAATTGTGTCATCCCGCTGCGATTCTGGGTGGAACCTGCAACAGGGTCCACGGCTTGAGGGCCACAAGTAGCACTGCAAAGCAGTCCAGCAAAACGTTGCGCAGAAACCTGTTCTGAGACCCTAGCCCGGAGATCCTCTAAGGTGCGTAACCCCATTCCCTTTCACTTAAGCCACGGACCCTGAAGTCGGAGGTC